TTCTCACCAGCAACTCCTACATTTCTGGTAGGTTCTTGTGTTTCAGTTACTTTTTCCTCTTCCCTCTAGGTATTCTTGCCTTAGTCCTTACCAATTGGAAATTGTTATACAAGCATAATCTTTTCCCCTCTCGCTATTTATGCCTCTATTGACGTATAATTAAGTGCGACCAAGTGGAGGGTTTGTAATAACCATTAAGTGAAAATCATAATGCTATCTACCACTTTCTCGTTGATGGATTCCTTGCTTTTTATGCATCTTTCTTTGTGAATATTTGTTGTGGTTAGGAATTTGCTTTCTAATTCTATCATTGTATCGAGTTTGTGAAACTGACTCTTGTTCCTTGTATACTTTTCTCTTTCTTCAACAATGCACAGCAATCGCGCTGCAGCATTTTTGCATCTGGTTAAACTTAGCAAAGCACTTGCTGATGCCGAAATGACGATCAATCTGAAACCAGAGTGGGAAAAGGTATGCTTCCAGAAAGTGTGTGAACTTCTTGTTATCAGAGCAAAGTTTTTCTGCTTGTAAAATCACTCAATTGTACGTGTAGGGTTATTTCAGGAAAGGATGCATACTAGAGGCTATGGAACGCTACGAGGATGTATGTATAAATGTTTCCTCTTATTTATTGGAGAACTTTCTCATGTTCTGGTTTTGATATTTGTTATCGTGATGTAGGCCTTAGCTGCTTTCCAGATTGCATCAAAATACAATCCTCTAAGTTCGGAAGTATCCAAGAAGATAAAGATACTCACACAGTTGGCTAAAGATAAGAAGCGCACTGAAGAACTGGAGAACATGAGATCCAATGTTGACATGGCAAAACATTTTGATGCATTGAAATCTGAACTGGTCAGTGTCTTCTGCATATATTTTTAGAGACATATCTTTATCGAAATGTTAATGTATCTGTTGTCCATGGAGCTTTAATTTTTTTTCTTTCTCTATGATTGCGGGTTCACTTTTTAATACGGTTTTGGTCATACTTCTAATTCATGCAAACTGTGAAATATAACCTTCTCCTCACGCAGGTAAGATACTCGTTGCATCACCAGCGGTGTGATATAGCCCTAAATCTAATTTCTGGAAAATGTCTTTCCAGGAAGTTTCCGCATGAAAGATGTACTAAGCTTGATTCTCCTTTTGCAGTCTGAAAAATATGGAGCTGAAGATAGCTGGAAAGAGTTTTTCTCTTTCCATGTTGAAACAGTAGAGAATGCTGTTAAGTCATGGCATGAAACTTCAAAAGTGGACCCTAGAGTTTATTTCCTTCTGAACAAGGAGAAGACAGACACAGAGAAGTACGCTCCAGCTGTTAATATAGACAAGGTGTTAAAACTACTTCCAAAAGTTCTTGTGCATTTTTTCCTTCCTCCTATATGTCTGAATTGAATTTGTGAGTTATAGGTTACATTGTCAAGTGCAGTTCGATATAGCGTATACTATCTAACTGTGTGCTTTTATTCATGTGCTAGGCTTTTGAGTCACCCCAGACACACAGCAATTGTTTTTCATTTCTTCGACAGTATGCTGAAGATTCTTTCGCTCAAGCTGCGTGTTTAGTGACACCAAAAAGTATCATATCTTATCCACAGGTAAATTCAGTCATTGACTACTCTTTTGGGAGAGGTAGCTTACCTTCCCCCCCCCCAAAAAAAAAAAAAAAAAAACCAAATTAAAAAAAAGAAAAAATTAACTCCTCGGAAAGAGGATATTAGGTGGTTGTGTGATCATGGAATGAGGAAGCAGAAAAAGATTAAAGTTTTTGCTTTCTTTCTTCAATTTGCGATAAAGCACGAAAGTTGCATACAGATACTGGATTCTGCAATCTAGAGTCAATATGCTTCTAAGAACACAGATAACCCCTTAGAACAGTTTTTCCTATGGATTCATGCACTGAAAGGGTAAAGAGGTAATTAGCTTATTAGCTGTGTACAAGTTGGTCTAGATACCATCGTTATTAAAACAAGAGGTTATTAGCTTAATCTTATTCCAAATTAACCAATATTTGATCTCTCTGAGTATCTATAAGAAGCATCATTGTCTGTTAGAAGCCTTGTCAGGTGAAAATAATAATCTGTTAGCGACTATAATTGAGTCAACTGAAGGGGAGCCTTGGAGCAATGGTAAAGTTGTCTTCATGTGACCTAGTCACTAACATATTATTATTTTCACCTGACAAGACTTCTAACAAACTATGATGGGTTTGAGCCGGGGAGGCAGCCACTAAAGCTTGCATCGGGGAAGGCTGTTTACATCACATCCCTTGGGGTGCGGCCCTTTCCTGGACCCTGCCAACCCGGGATGCTTTGTTCACTGGGCTGCCTTTTACTGTAATTGTTTCAACTGATTTGTCTTTGCTCTATGAATACTGAATGTTGGTTCTATACTTCCATTCTACAACTTAATTGGATTCAAACACCCTAACCTTTGTAGGCTTACATTTTAATTCTATTAGGTAGCATAGACCCTTCTAGGTTTGCATTTAATTTGTGCCTTGTTCTATTAGCATCATTGTAAGTCGCGGTCAAAGCAAAGAAAAAGATGCCAAAAATGATTCACTTCAGCTTCTAGCTCGCTTAGCTTGGTTCAGACAAACACAAGCCAAAGGAAGTTGAAATCAAGAATGAACTTGACTTGTCTCTTTGGGAGAGTGGTAAAGGTGATGTTGACCATTGATGGTTTAGTATCATGTTAGTGTCTGGTGTGAATCAAAGACAACATTGTATTTATATATGCAGTTTTTGCAATTGTTCTATTCTTTCATGATTGTTTGACCCTCAATGATGTGATCTAACAGGTTTGGAAAGGTCAAGGATCAAGAAAATGGAAGCATGGACAAAATGATGGAATTTTCGTCCAATTTGAATCTCCTCTAGTGCGGAGGTTGTGGTTTATCCCTAGCTCCACTGAGAAAGGCAAAACATTATGCAGGTCTGTTCCCTTTGTCTTAGCCAAAATACAAGCACACAGAAAACGAGAAAAAAAATTGGATGTCACAGCCACAGCATGCATTTGCGTGTGCACCTTATCTATTTTAATAAAATGCATTACAAATGCAATTATTCCTTTAATGGATACAATACTTTGCATATTCGAACGTGTGACTTCAATATGTGTCTTGAGCATACCAGCTTATCAAATGCAAAAGGATAATAGCTTATGATTTTTATGTTCATGTACATCAAGTATGGGCTAAACTCTTGACACGTGAGAAATTAGATAAAACAAATGAGCAATTCAACTGAATGTGCATTTCTGGATTTCCTTTCACCTGTGTAGCCTGTGAACATTCCTGTTTAACTTGGGGAACCATCCTTCTGAACTTTTCCATATTTGTTTCGCCATGTGGTGGCTGAGGATTTCAACTTTATACATGAGTTGAGGAAGTTGATGCTTTTGAAGCCATTTAATCTCTTGCTGCAATTATTGCGTGTTAGAAGCACATTATCAATTCGGACTTGTTAAATATATATCCACGTTTAAGAAAAAACTGTGGGAAATATGTTTAAGTGGCAGCATCTTCTTTCCATGAAGAAATTAACAGATAATATCTTTTTGAATAATGACATCTTTTTGCATAATTGTGCTTGTCGAGCAATTAGAGCTGATTGTATATAATCTAAGTACACATGCTTAATTTTCTAAGGAATGATTCACAAGTATGCAAATTCAATTCGAGGCATCAGTTCCTTCTTCCTATACTGGGTGATGACCCTGGATTAACCAACTCTATCTTCAATTTTCAGGGATCCAATGCCTTTGGATATTAGTGCACATGAAATTCTTCCGCGTGTATTCAAGCAAGAATAGTTAAGATAATTGCAGTTCCATATCTTGGGTTAGCTCTTTGTGGGATTGTGTTGGGGAGAAAATGGACCTGTTAACTATGAGGAAAAGCAAGAATGGCACATCACATCTTTTTATTGGATTGGCGCAACATGGGGAAAGCTGTCAAACTCTGCAGTTCTCTTATATTGGTGAGGTAGGTTATGTTAGCTATCAAGATATCAAAATCTTTTGAAGTTTTCCTATAGTAGATTAGAATTTCCGAGTGTCGCGTAACCCTCTGTATTTTCATTTTACTTTCACTCTGTTTGTTGGCTGTTTGATCTGGCAGTGAGTTTCTTAGAAGTCATTTATTCAATCGTTTTCGGATTGAAACTCTTGTAAATTTGCGCAGCTAGAAGCAATGTTGCTGTTGTTACCTTAACTTGATTTCTCTCTACCTGAAAGTATATTGGAGTTTGTTTTGCAATTTTCATCACTGTTATCCAGCCCCTTTTTAACTTTCCCTTTGTTGGATGTATTTTTGGCATCTCATATCTTGGTATATTTGGTTCAACTTTTGTATATACTTCCTTTTCCCTAGTAGAACTCTTAAGTAGAAAAGTTTTCTTTAGTTTACTCTAGTGCTTTCACCCTTGGAGCAACGATAAACTTGTCTCCTGGTAACCTATAGGTTATGATTTCGAACCATGGAATCGACCGCCAATGGTTGCTTCATGGTAGACTGCTTATGTTACACCCCCTTTGTGGTGTGATCATTTCCCAAACCCTATGACGGGATGTTTTGTCTGCTAGACTGTCTTTTTTCTTCTTTTTTTCTTACTCTAGTGCCTATGCACAACCCTTGACTATACTACTACATAGTTCATTCGGAGGAAAATATTTTTCAATTTTTCATGTCCGGTTGATCAAAATTTTTGAAAAATATTTTTTTCTACATATTGATGGTGTCCACCTCACCCTTCAACATAGTTCATCTTCACTCCCACTCCTTAGCTCGCCACCACCACATCCTTATCATTTATCTTCACATCTCATAGTATCATTTAGATTATATACAAATGCTTTTAGGATAATATTTTTTTACTTACATATCGAACACAAATTATTTTTGTAGAAAACATCTTCTGAAGAGAAGTAGAATAGTAGAGCACTGGAATATTGAAGCAACTTCCATTAACTTAAACATGAAATTTTACAGAATTGCATTAGGGTAAATAAACAAGCTCCTTATATGTTTCACTTAGTGAAACTGTAAAAATAAATTACTTAATACTAATACACTTGCATTATTTTAATGACCATCATTAATCTGATTGATCATTTATACATTATCATCTGGAGTTACTGAAGAATCAATTCTCTTTGATTGAAACTTGCAATTATGAAGAACATAATTGCATGCATTTACTGCTTCACCAATTGTTAAATAAATCCATTCTTTCCCAATTTTGTCTATGAAATTTGACTTGTCCAACTTCTTCATCACTTCCCCTCCAGGATTTGCCAATAAAACCTAAACCAGTAGCGGAGTTAGAATTATTACTACAGGAATTAAAAAGCATACAAAGATCTATCTGCATAGTATAATTTTCCGATGAAGGAGTAAATTTCTAGTTTGTACCTTAAGGCATCGTCTATCTGCATTTCTTTTCACTTCCTCAAGCATACTAATTCCACTTGTATCAATGTTTCCAACAGCTACATTAATAGGATTAATGTTAGCACTAAAAACATTAACAAGATTTGATAAAAAAAACCAAATTAACATTTAATAATGACAATTTTTTTTAATCTTGAATTAACACTAATTAATTACCACTCATATCCAATATAACATATTGTAGCTCAATTTCTGTTGAATTCCTTTGCTTCTCTTCTTCTTCATCTATCCATCTTGATATTCTACGATATTCCAACAGCCCATAGTTTAATAATTAACACCATAAAATTTATAAATAACAACTTTTCAAACTCGTAATTGAGAAAATAGTCATTGTCATAGAGTTTTACCAGTAAAATCTGAAACTCCACGAACATGACTATTTTTAAAAGATATGATGTAAAAGTGACTAGTGAACGTTATTTCTCCATTATTGTTACCTTTCCCTTAAATAACTTGCATTAGCAAAATAAATTGGGGAATCAATGTGGATGATGAGAACTCCTGGAACACTGCTTGCTGCTGAATATTGTTCAATATTTCTATATGTCATTGAATTAGGTATTTTACCTAAAACAAATGTTTTAGGCCTTGCTACAAATAAAAGTATCCTAAGTAATGACATTGCCACCTAAGTCACACATTAAAAAAAAAACATAGTTAACATTAGTGGAAACTCAATTTTTCGAAAAGAGATACATCGTCATAATCAGGTAACTTAAAAGATAATTACATATGTTGAGGTACTTACCGCGACTATTAGGCCAACTTCAACGCTACCAAAGACGACTCCAATATACGAGCTAATGCATACGAGGAAATCGTATTTATCAACTTTCCATAAATGGATAGCAGCGTTGTAGTCAATTATGCCAAGCATAGCTGAAATTATAATGGAGGAAAGAACAACAAGGGGTGTGTAATGAAATAATGGTGTGAGTAACAACAATGTTATCATCACAGCTATTGACATTACTATGTTGGACACTGTTGTTTTACATCCTGCATTGTAATTTACTGCGGTTCGCGAAAATGGTCCTGAAAAAAAAAAGGGGGGAAATTAAGTAAGAAATCGGACTATATACTAAAATTCTTTTATTATGGATATGAATATGTAGTTCGATTAATGAAAAAAGTTAGTTTGCTTAAAGCGATTGCCATGAGTAAACATATATACTGGTAAAAAATAATAATGGAGAAATGAAAATTATTAAAACTCTTTTGTCCCCTAACCCTTTAGTGTAGTTTGGGCCCGTCCTAATAACAAACACCTTCCTACTGTAAGGTGCGACTATGCCCTTCCCTTGATATCCACTCCAGACCAAAGAAACAACTAGGTAAACTTTTTAAACAATTGAGATATTAAACAACAAACATTTAAAACAACTCATATTCAAGAAACATTTTTGATTGAAGTTGTAGTCTAATGGTTATAGGTTCAACCTATATCACTTATTATGAGTAAACGTTTCGATCCACCTACTAAAAACACCCATCTTTAAACAATGAGCTAGTATGCAACATATAATCAATGTATAATAACTGTATAACTTATGTTATATATACACTGATTATACACCAACGATAACTACAAATTGTTACGACTAGGCCTAAGATTATATTTTTTTCATCGTCTGGCTAAAAATGTTAAGATCCCTATCCTATAGTTGATGAGAGCCATGGGGGAAATTTGTTAATGGGCCTTATTATGGTCTATGGAACTTAATTGGGCTAGTGTTTTCTTGAATAGTTTGGATTGGGCCTACCTGTGGTTAAGTAGCAAGAGGTGCAAGAACCAACAATGTTCATAAGCCCAAAAGCAATCATTTCTTTGTTTCCATCAATATCATAGTTTTCAAGTATAGCAAAACTCCTTCCAACTGCTATTCCTTCCTGTAAAATTTAATATAATAATCTCATTAGTCAATATTAATAAAATAAATAACTAATCAAATAGTGCAAATTGGTAGAATAAATAAAATGTTGTACTCTTGTTTTTAAGTACCTTCGCGGAAAAGATAGGAGTTACAAGTGTGCAACTTTACTAGTAGTATATATCTGTCTTATTTTTAAAATTATAAATATCGGTAACATAGTTTAGAAATCAAAGTCAACGGATCACCATAGTTGTGTACGATAAAACAACATTGTTTTTGTTTCTTCATAGACCTTTGCCCCAAATATCTTCGAATTCGCGATAGAATGAGGTCATGAGAATTTAATGCAAATAAAAAATCGAGCAATAACTTTGACCTAAACTCCATATTTCTATTTAAAAATTACTTATATATGTATATCAATCGTCACCAGTTCTATTTTAGATTCAAAATTTATAAATTTAAAATTCTGAATTCGTCTCGAATTTAGTACTTACAGCCAAGGAGATGATACTGGTGACAACTCCAGTCTTAATGGCAATTGCAAGATACTGTGAGCTAAACGCCAGTTCAGAATATGATGGTGGATTTATCCCCTTTTTCAAATGCCCAATCTGGCAAAAATTAAATCCAACAAAATTCCAAAAAATTAATTCACGGATATATTAGCCTCATGTACTATCTTATATTATAAAAATAATACAAGTACCATCACTAAAAATAATAATTAATCATCCAAAAGAAACGTACAACATGTGAAAGTCACTACGTACTATGACTAATTAATTATTATATATGCACATGCAATTAATTAATTTTGAATTTTGAAGAATTATTATTATTACCACTTGAACACCATTTTTTTCAGCATGGGTGAAATAAACAAGAACACTTCCCAAAATTACAGATGTTAGAGGCGCCATAGCACTTATCCAGAAGAATTTTGGCTTCATTTTGCTCTGCCCACAAAAATAAACAAGTCCATATTAGTATCGCTACAACAAAAACAACTTTTAGCAATAATAAATATGCACAACAAAGAGTGTTAAATTTTTTACGACATTAGTTACTCTTTATTAGATATAATGTTGTTATAGACTATAATTATACTTACAAAATATCTGGTCAGCAAGAGGAAGAAGAGGAAACAGCAACCTAGGACTCCACTTTCCCACCTCCACTGTAGTAAATAATAATAATAAACAAAAACATTTTAGAAACTAAAAGAATGAAAAAGAAAAAAAAAGTCCATAAATTAAATTGGAGTTTGGTCAGAGAGAGCGATAAATACTCCTATATTTTCACTAAAGGGTCTCGAACAAATTAAAGTTGTACATCTCGATGCAAATACAAATTATTTGGAGCGCAAAACAAGTACCAGACATCGAGCGAGAATAATGTTATAAAGGAGTTACGTACGTACCTGGTGGATTTGGGTAAAGATAGAAGTCATTACACTGACAATATCAGTTTGATGGGTGAAATGAACGAGGCCAAGTATTCCTTTCAATTGTTGTAAGCACACAACAGTGGCTGCTCCACCCATGAATCCCAATATTGTTGCGTGAGACAGAAAATCCACCATAAACCCTAGCCTGTATATATATATATCATCATGACAAAAATATATGGGTGCACGTGTCAGATCAGATTCGCTAATAGTATTGTATTTTTGGAAAATCAGACACGAATCCATGCAACTTAGGTCTTTGAGGATGTACCTCATGACAATTGATGTGAGAGGTGGATCCAGAATTTTAGCGTTAGTTAAAATACAATTAAGAGTATAGTACAAACATAATTGGAACGTACGTTATGTGTGATAATGAATGTAAACTTTTGATAAACATCTATATTTAAAAACTTAGTCCTCTGTCATCCGGGCATGATTCCATTTTAGTTAATTATAATTTCAACGGCGCTCCTCACGTACGGGTCTATTTCTTTTTTTATGGGCCAAGTACGTCAAAATTCTTTTCGATATGGGTGACAACAAGATTCGATCTCAGAACCTCTGCCTACTCTGGTAGCATGTTGAAGTGTGTAACCATCTCATCTAAAAGCTTAAACTGTTCGAAAAAACACATTTATATTAGTTAATCATATTCTCAACAGTAAGGAACTGACCTTAAGAAGCCCAAAGAAGCTTGGAAAACTCCAGCAAAGAAAGTAGCAGTAAACACCAATTGAAGATAAAGCTTTGGATTTTCATGAGGATTAACAACTTTCCCAAGCATGGCAGAAATGAGAAGTGATGGAACTGCCACATTCCCTATTGCCAAATGCTTTGAACTTCCCAACATGGCATATATCAATGGTGGCACAAAGCTTGAATCTGCACGTGACATATGTTTAAGACCATAAGATTCAAAAAAACATTTTAACACATTATACATATTTTCAGTTCAGTTTAAAACTACAAGATTCAAACGTCTCTAGCTCGTCCTAGCGTGTCCAAAATCCAGTCAAACTAAGACACATGTAATGAAAGGGAGAGAGTAATATCATGTTGTAACTTAGACATCAAGTCATGACTAGTAAAGTTATATATAACCATAAGTCCATATTCATTAATCTGATAGTGTAAAAATTCTTTTACGTTATCAGTATATAAGTTAAAACACATATTTTAAAGACGGGATCGAGTAGTATATCTTGATGGATGGTCTATCAGTAACAGTCTTTCTATCTTCTTTCTATCTGGACAAGTTAGAAACTTACAAAGTCCAATAACAGGAGGCAAGTTAGCCAAGCCAGCATAGCTAATCCCTTGAGGAACAGCAAGACTAGCAATTGTAATTCCAGCAATAATATCAGCTTTAAATAATTGAAGTGTATAACGAGGAGCCCAATCTAATATTGGTACAAAATATTGAAAACCCAAAGAAATTTTTTTGGAAAGTGGTTGATTCTTGAATTTTCTAAAAGGGTCATCAGGAAATAATGTTTCTTTCACATTAGATTTGAGTGTCTTCAAGAATGGCTTTGGTGGTGGAATTTCAACCCTTTGATAATGATGATGAGAATATTGATCATCAAAATCAACATGAATACCCATAATTTTATGCTAATTAATGAAAGATTAAGTGATGATTAGAATCACCAAGAACTTGACTACTTATAATGTGTGAGATTAAATGAGAAAAAGAGATGATGATGTAAATGAGAAATTGGTTTTGATTTCTTATGCATATTGGGACTTATAGAGGATGTCTATATATAGAGAGCCAAGAGAAGGTGGAGTGAAGTGGAGTGCCTTTTTCCCTATTTCAAAACTCTTACTAATCCCTCCGTTTCAATTTACGTGACATATTTTTTTTTTTTAGTATTCTCTCCGTTTTATATTCGTTGTCCACTTTCTCCTTTATGCACACTCTTTGTATGTATATGAACAAAACTGTAGTTTTACTAGTTTATCCTTTCAGAAACGTCTTTAGAACTTCATAAAAAAAAATTACGTTGTCAGAAAAGAATTAACTATAAGGATAAAATAAAAAAAATTAAATCAATTGTATCTTGATTTTTATAAATTGACAAGTAATTTTGAGATAATATTTATAGTAATGTGGATAACTAATATAAAACGAAGACAATATATCAAAAAAAAGAACGTTATCGTTTTTATAATTAGAAATAACTAATCTTCAAAAGAAATTCTTTGACTATTTATGAAATAATTTAATTCACATAAATTTTTAGAGCAAGTCAAACAATGCCACAAAAAGTGATACCTAAAGAATATTTATTTTGTTACGTATTCTTTTTGTGTGTTAGGGTTTCATACTTTCATTGATAACCTCTCAAATTAAAGAGTTAGGGGATTGACATGACTAATCTTTGAGCTAACACGCAAAGGTGAGAATTTTTTGATGGGACGCATTGAGACATCTCATCCATGAAATTGTTGTCACACTACCAATAAAAGTCAAAAATCGAATAGAACGTTCTAATAAAGACAATTCTATATTAAATAATTTGAATTCGAGATCTCTGATAATTCTATTTTATTGGGTGACACGTGTCAACTAGTCAACGGCTTAGCTAATCACAACCTTATTGGTATTCCAGCTAAGTGTAAGGTCACATTATCTCTCATTACATGAGGCACCAAATAGATTTTTAGAGCTCAAGGTTTTGTTGCCTACCTTACCATTCAAAAAAATACTCACGTGGACATGTGTGATTGGTTGATAAAGATCCACATAGGACACGTGGCGACGTGTTGGGAATTAGGAAGATACAAGAAATTAGGAATTACATCAACTTTTTGTCGAATTTTTAATAATATTCTTTTTCAGTGCAAGTATCTGATTAAATTAAGCTTAGTTTATTAGTAAAGATAATTTGAACTTTTAACCGGCCAAAAAAGTGTTAATTGGTCCAATTCTTTTACTTGTGAATTATATAGTTTGTTTAATGAGGTTTTATACCAACTAAAACCTAACATATGCTGATATTTTTTGTCAAATTATTGAGTTAATATTATCACACCTAACAATAATTTTAACCTAAAGTCACTCAAATTTATCTATAGTATCATAAAAATAATATTATGTCCACTATCTCAACATGCATGTTTAATTCTGTGATACTGTGAATTTGGTGCAATATTAATGTAAATGTTGAGTTTTTGCTCTTTGTTTTCTAGATGTTCCGTACTCGCTTTAAGGTGAGAATAATTTGAATTTGTATTACAAAGTTTTACCATGAGATAAAATAATCTTACTATCAGAGACGATTCAATTCTCAGAGTTCAACTTCAAAACTTATAATTAAAAATATATAAGAGTATTTATATATTATGACTATCCACGATAATATAATTATAACAAAAATTAAGTTACCAATAATTTGGAATTTCCAAATGGATCTTGTTATATTCCATCTAGTGGTTGATTTGGCGGTATATTCACCTCATTTGCACATATATAAATAAGAATAATTTCTAATTATTTGTATGTAACTTTAAAATCTCTATGGTTATAAATTTGATTATACAAATGGGGTTCACTTTTAGTTATTTAATCAGCTGTAGATCTTCTGATTATAAGATTCTCAATTCCTTATAGTAACAAAATAAATTACTATTATTTCTTGTCCAAGCAAAACTATATTATAATTGATGAATGTATAGAAAAAACCTAAATGCAAACTCAGCAACTTGAAAAAGCATTAGCTAACCAATATGTGTGTTTCATGTGCCATCAAGTATTAACCATCTCAGATAAATGGATTTGACAATATAGACAAGAATCAAAATAACTATTAAAAATTACATGCACGTTGAGAAGTTTCAATACAATTTTTATTTGAATAAAAAAGTGTTAGTGGAATGTGTAATAATAGTATAGGTTGTAGAGCAATATAGATGTTTGGGATCGTAGCTACAAAATAAGTCCTAACTAAATATATCCAAACAAAAACTTCATAATTTACTACTATTTAATATTAATGTGATGCTTATATATATATATATAGATCATGTCTTCTACATTTTAAATTAGATATTATTTGCAATAATTATAGCTCTTTTTCTCACTAGTTCCTTTAATTTTGGGGGAGAAAAAAGGACAAGAAAAAATTGTTGGGGAAAAGTAGTATGAAACTTCAATAAAAAAATTTTGTTGAATCACACTGTTGTTTTGATGGCTGTCATCCACAGTATTATATTGTGTTGTTAGTTTAAATGCAATATTTTTTATTGTTATATTATTGGAATTTTATCATATTGTATTGTTAAATCTATTTTATATAACAACGAATTAAAGTTCAATTTTATGTAATGATTGATTTAGTGTAGTTAGGGGTGTTCGTGGTTCGATTTGGATCGATTATTGATCAAAACAAAATCAAACCAATCTAGTCGGTTTTTAAAATTTCTAAAACCAAACCAAACCAAATGGAAAAAATAACCATCGGCTTGGGTTATTGTCGGTTTGGTTCAATTTTTCTGGTTTATTTGGTTTGAAAGTAATGATTTTTTTAGGGCGTACATATCTCGATAGACACAAATACCTAGTGCATGAACAATCCACAAAAAAGCTAATGTCGGTTTAGTTAAGCAATACTAGAGTTATCATTACACGAACAAAGTAATTCAATTAAGAGAAAGTGTGACTATTTTATTTGAAGTAGGGTAGGTAAAGACTAAAGTGAATTTTGATGGACGTGGACTTGGAATTGTTATAGTTAGGCTAAAGTATTGGGCTTGAGAAAATGGTAAATTTAAAGACTTAAGTTAATTAAAATATTTATATTTTATTTATGAATAATATATAAATAATTATAAAATTTATAAATCCAATTTATCGGTTCGATTTGGTTATTTTTGCGGTTTTATTTAAAACCAAACCAAATCAAATATCGATTTTTTAATCGATTTGATTTCGGATTGTGGTTCGATTTGATTTTTTAACCATAACTCAATAAATAGTTTATTAATAGTTCATTAGAATTACTCAATAAATCGATTGATTGTAATTTTAGTGATTCTATAAAAAAAATAATCAAGTAATTTCTTTTGCACGAAGATGGATGATACAACTCTTATTAATTTAACAGTTTAGAGTTACTCAATAAATCAACTGATTCTAATTGTGGGACTGACTTAACAAAATAACGTTTTCCTAATAAAAAAAAAGAAAAGAAAAAAGAAAGCACTAGTAAAAATATGGGTACGAAATCCACTATGATCAATAATGGAGATATTCAATGATATATATTATAAGGTGCATGAGCACGATAATCACACGCAAGACCAATCATGTGGAAGATGCTCGCTCATCCAATAAATTCACAACAAAAATCACCTTCTACAGTACAAGCTCAGAACCAAAAAAAAAAGTTACAAATTTTATCGCTAATTAATTATTAAATAACTCGCGATTTTAAACCTATCATGATATTTCTATGACTAGGTAAAATAAGAAATGTAAAATTAATTGTTTTCAAATGAAACATAGTAAAATTATATATATATATATATATATATATATGTCTAAATATTTTTTTTTAATTTATTAATAAGTAAATTGGTATATATATAGTGTTACAATAAGTAGTGTGTCGTCATTTTATTTTTTTCACCTATTGAGTTAGCATTAATTCTTGATCAATACTTGTTTGTGGAGTTGTTGAATATTCAGAATATTCTCTTTGATTAAAGTGATGTTTTTCTGTGGACAGGAAATCAAGTTTATAGTGTTTGGTTATATAAGCCATGTGGGAGTGTATCGGTATAGTTCCATGCACTTAATGTAGTCTATTTTTTTTTCTACTTGGTGTCGGAGTCAATATTAGAGTCCCGACTAAATTTGGATCGCGCACTGCAAGTTATATTTGGGTGTGCGCTCCCAATAAGATTTTTTTCATATCCAGGGCTTGAATCCGAGACCTCTGATTAAGGGTGAAACAGTCCCACCACAACCCATGTTGATAACATAGTCTATGTTATTTTTGTGGTTGTGAATCTATCATAATGTATTTTCTAGTTTTGGAACTTTATTTTTTTGTGTTTTTTTTTTCCCACTATTGATCCAAAGGCTAAAGTTTTCATGGTTTGTTGAATCATTATGTGTTTTGGTTCATCTTCAATTGAATGGTTGGCAATAGCTAAGAAGCGTATCAAGGATTTCGGGATGATGGATGCATATTATGTAAATGTGGATCTAATCGGTTTTACATTTAGCTTCGAATCATTGAAAACAGTTAAAATTTTAAAATTATAGGTCCAAAATTGAAATGCTCAAATAATTAAAACGCCAAAAGTGTTACCAATAACCACTTAGAGAGGTGTTAATCAATTTCAGAAAGAAAAATAATACAAGATAGATATAAAATTTAAATTTATAATCTCAATGAGAGGTGCACTTAATCATCATCGCAGTATATGATACTTTCATTGTGGATTCACACATCTATTATAACGAACCAACAGGACAGACTGGACAATCCCAGGCGCAGTACCAGGGACAAGCAAGTGCCAAATACCTGGACCACAGACCCCAAGGTGAAACCAACTCTACCAAAATCCTTAGCCACTGGATAAAAATTACAGAAGCTGCCAGCCTTATAAATAGGAGAAGGACTCACTAGGAAGGATTATGAAAAAAATTGTCTTTTATTTGCTTAAAATTAGATCTGGAACCTCTTTTTTCTCTTTTTTATTTTTTCTT